GGTTGATAATTTGTAGAGAAAGTATGATTTATATAATTATTCAATCTGCCCAGTAAAATACCAGAAATATTCACCATATAGTTTGTCTCTGGTTTCAGTTTTAATCCTTGTAATTTAACACCATCATAATTAATACCAGTTTCATCTATCTCTTTCTCTAGTTGATAATCATCAGTAGATAGTCCGACCTATAAAACAATAAAATAAACATCTATCTCTTTCTCTAGTTTATAATCATCAGTAGATAGTCCGACCTATAAAACAGTACAATAAACATCTATCTCTTTCTCTAGTTTATAATCATCAGTAGATAGTCCGACCTATAAAACAGTACAATAAACATCTATCTCTTTCTCTAGTTTATAATCATCAGTAGATAGTCCGACCTATAAAACAGTACAATAAACATTTATCTCTTTCTCTAGTTTATAATCATCAGTAGATAGTCCAACCTATAAAACAATAAACATCTATCTCTTTCTCTAGTTTATAATCATCAGATAGTATGATGTCAGATGGGGATACTAATTTGAACTCACCATAACTGATGTAGACTTATAGCTGTTAGAATCAAACCGCCAGCGAATACCAAGTGACTGTTGTAGTGAAAGACAATATTGTGATAGATGATATTGGGTTGTGGTCTGTGGTAAAAGAGTTATCTGCCCACTACTAGTAATAAGTTTATTAGAATCAATGAGTTGAACACCATCAGTTGTAACTGTTACTTGTAGACCAACTTTATTATAACATCTAATAGTAGAATAAACTTTTATAGGTTCTCTCTCAGTATATTCTTTACTAGCTTTATTCTCATCTTTCTGTATTCTTGTAAACTTCTGTATATCATTTCCTCCTCTCACAGACCCTAAACAGATACATATACGGTTATAATCATATACAGTAAATATATTGCTGCTTAAAGGTACGCCATTCTTTTTAACAATTCATATCTAGAATTTGGATGTTAGAAGAGGATAACTCGCTGTTTTAATATACTCTGTGATTTATAAAAAAGACATATCTAGAAATGTTGAGTAAAATTCATAGTTTGGAGTATTTTTGAAGGGATTGTGCGTTGTTCGTACATTTCTAGTACTTCTGAAGACTATTTACTATAAATTCAAGGCTAAAATCATCCTCTTAATATTTTTTATATTTAATATTTTTTGTTTTTCCTGTTGTCAAAACATAGTAACATTCTGTGTCTTTGGTGTATTTCATCATTCCTAGTGTTTCTTGTTACAGTTAAAGCTTATAATTGTAAATTGTAGACAGGACACTGGAGAGACAACATGGTTGCAGCACTGCTGTTGAGTTGTTATCTGGGCAATTTGGGAATAAGATAAGGTATAATTAGTTTTGTATGCACCAGTGATAGTGTTAGAGCTCAAAGAAAAAATAGGAAGGTGTCAGTGCTTTCACTGTTCTCTCTTTGTTAAACGGGTTTAACTGG